TGTGTGTGTGTGTGTGTGTGTGTGTGTGTGTTGCTTCTGGACTCAACACTAAGGCCTGAGCATTGTCCTTAGCTTTTACTCTGAAGGCTGACTGATACTCTACTGCTTCTGGCCTTTTACTGGTTAGTCTTACAGACTTTCCCTTACCCCTCTTCCCCAACTGGCTTTGAACTTTGATTTTCAGATCTTAGCCTCCTGAGTAGCTAGGATTACAGGTGTGAGCCACCAGCCTGGCTTCCTGGCAGTCTTTGGAACACTTGAGGACACTGGCAATCAAAAACAAAATCCTTACCTTTATTAAGAGTTAATACTGACAGAAAATTCAGAAACTGAAATTATTCACATCATCACTGTTAGAAGGGAGGAGGGGTAGAGAGGAAAACTTTTTGGAAAAGAGAAAATAATTTTCTGTGCTATTCTTCTATCCTTGGGGTCACATTCTCTGAAGCATTTGATGACAGGGTATGGTCTGTGTGGCTTTGTACCAAAGCCTCTGACTTACCTGAATAAGTACAGGAAAGAGTCAGTGCTGAATTACTCTCCAACTTAGACTCCTTAAATTAAAATCTTACATGTGAGAATGCCATCTTAAAAATAGCTAAAATTGCCCTTTTCCGTTTGCACATAATGACCAGGAGTGAAAACAAGAAGAAGACAGGAACCATGTGTGCTTTCTATCTGTGGGAATATTTGATTTGGGATAACCAAAAATTAGAAAACTTTAATAGTCTCTTGTTGACCTGGAAGCTCCCTGACATTGGGGGCATGGTGGGAAATGTCTTTTTCTCTAGCATGTATTCCATTTCTATAAATATTCCACAAATTGAACTTGTAATTGTGACTCTCAAACTTTGATTCCCAGGAGTGTATAGCTGTACTGGACCTAACTTTCAAAGTAGCTTCTTTTAGAATATATTCTCTTGGCAGAAAGAGACTTCAGCTAATTTCTCAATCAGATTATGAAACTTTTTAAACTAAAGCAGGAAGGATGGCATGATTCCAGCTTCGTATTTTTTTGGTCGTGAACAATGTTGTGATGTATTCATACATGTTATATTTTTGTCTAAGAATCTTGATTTGTAATCTCCAGTTAGATATTAAATGTACACCCCCAGTGGTGAATTTATTTTGAAAAGGCTGTTTGTAAAGCAAAACATGCATTCACACCAGCATATACCATTATTTCAATGATATAATTTTAAAAAGGAAGATTTAATTCTCAGAAAAATAGGCCATTTCCTCCAGAATGTTTCTTGTCTTTGATAAGCCCTAAGAAATACTGTAATATTCTAGAAAAGATCCAGTTCATCAGGGGAGTAGTAGAGTCCAGGTTAGCCTAGCAATTCTTCTTTGACACAGAAGCCTACTGTTGGAAGGTACTGGGGAAGTCCTTCCTGGAGGTTTGTGAATAAGGAGGGTCAGGAAAACCTGCTTCCTGTACCCCTTTGTTGTTGAAGGAACAATTGTTGCCTTGATCTGTTGCTGGGACCAGTGTGGAGCAGGACAGGATGGTCGCACGAAAGGAACCATGCAGGAGTTTGTCTGGACTTGCCCTGATTCATTTTGGGAAGAAATCTGCAAAGCCAGCATAATAGAAACAGCTCAGCCAAGTGAGTATGGAGCTCCCAATCTGGAGAATAGGGACCATCATATGGGCAGAGACTAATGAAGAGGAACGGATCCCCGGGTACTTGCCTAGGAAGGGGCTTGTTGCTACCCCATGGCCCAGGGTATATTTTCTTCCTAGCTTTAGCCTGTCTCAAAGACTCCAGATCCCCAGTGGAATCAGTAATGACTAAACAACTACAATGCGTGTAAGTTGCTGAAGATAGGAAGACGAATTTAAGAGTGCACAGCCAAGTGCAGGGGGCAGACCAATAAATAACTGTAGAAGGGAGAGAAATGCAAAACACTCAGGGATATGTCTTGGTTCTTCTCACGGCATCATTTTAGTCATGGATTGTGCACCTTACACTCCTTACAGAGTAGTACTCCGGGTCCAGGCAAGATTTTTTTTTTCCCCAGTCAGAGGAAACAGTGTTGATTCAGGCATTTGCCATATATTTTATTGGTGTACCTACTATGTAACAGATACTTATGCCCCTCCAAGGGATAAAATGGGCAGAAATCACAGCTGTATTGGCCTTGTATTCTACCACACAGAGAGATGACATAGAAGAGAAGTAGAATAAGTAGCAGCAAGTGCTACAGAGAAACATACAGCAGGGGAGGGACATGAGGGGAGGGACATGAGGGGCTGAGTGATTTACTATTTCAGCAGGAATAGTTAGGATGCCTTTCTGAGAACAGCGATACTTCATTGTCTTTCTCAAAGAGAAAGAGGGCCAGCTTTGTGACAGGCTGGAAGGAAATGTTCGAGGCAGTGGGTATGGCAACGCAGAGGTGTGTGCAGAAATAAAGAATATGTATAGCATCAGTAATCTGAATTCATGTGAATGGTTGTCTAGGTTGACACAGAATAGAAGCCAGGGTGGGGATCTATGGGGAGAGGAAGGCAAGGTGCAGGACAAGGAGGAGCTGGTGTGCAAAGGATTTGCACCAAGCAGGTAGTTTTAGGATTGTGACTGTTTTGAAGGCACAGGTTGAGAAGAGCTCACAGAGCCTGAGGCTGGGGGACCTGCTAAGCTTGTGGTATAATCTAGGCTAGGCAGGAAAGGACACGTCAGAAGCAGAACCACAGAATTAGTGACTGACCAGAAAAGGAAGAGTTAGGGAGATGAAGAGAATTAATCAGTGGCCAGTTTGCTTTTGGCTGGATGAGGCATCCTGAGATCAGAATGCTAAGTAGTTTCTAGGAAGGTGGAGTAGACCAGAAAACCTTATAAGGCAGCAGTAGGCACTTTTTCCAAGCATACCCATTGGATCTTTTCCTTTGATGCTCACAACCCTGCCGTAGCTACCATGTGGCTTGCCTGGCTCCACCTAATTTCCATGTTGACCTGCTCCTCAATTGTGTTTCTTAGTCCTTTCCTCCTTGCTCCAGCCACACCAGACTCCTGCCTCCCCTGGATCAGACTGTACTCTCTTGGCAGCACCCTTCCCCAATGTAGGGATTACTTGTTTTCAGTCCCCACTTTGTTCATTTATTTCTTTCCTGAATTAGAATGTCACCTCCATGAGAGGTATTGTTTATCTCACAAGCTGTGTGTCCACAGCAGTTACAGGATGTGTTGCTTGACAATCACAGCCTGAAAGGGTTATACTTAAAGATGAATGAATGACTGGATGAGTTTGGAGGCCTACTAGTAGGTAGAAACTGTTAGGAAGCATATCTTCTTTGAGAATCCTGTCTACTTGTATAGTGAGGGTTTGGTTACATTTGAATGTGAAAGCATACAGCTGTCTTTTGGTAGATCTATGGAAGATTAGTTTCATCACCCCTGAGGATAGCAAAATCTGCTAGTGCTCATGTCCTTGTATAAAGTGGCATAGCTTTTGTATATAACCACACATCCTCCTGTTTACTTAAAATCATCTCTTGATTATTCACAATTTAGACAATTTGAACTCTGTATGTCATTGTTATACTGTATTGTTTAGGGAATAATGGAGAGAAAGCACAGTTTTTGCCTCAAGTATTTTCCATCTGTGGTTGGTTGAATCTAGAGAAGGGGAACTATGGATACAAAGAGAGCTGACTTGACTTGTCAAGACAAGAAATAAGTTGAAAGTTAAAAAAAAAGGTAGAACTGAGTGCTGGTGGCTCAATTCTATAATCCTAGCTACTCAGGAGGCTGAGATCTAAGGATCATGGTTCAAAGCCAGCCTGGGCAGGAAAGTCTATGAGACTTTTATCTCCAATAAATTACCAAAAATAGCTGGAAGTGGCACTGTGGCTTAAGTAGTAGAGCGCTAGCCTTGAGCAAGAGAAGCTCAGGGACAGCACCCATGCCCAGAGTTTAAGCCCCAGGACTGCGCCCCCCAAATCTCCCCCCCCCCCGCCAAAAATGAATTCAGAGATTCTGAATTTTCACTTGTGTTGTCTTAAGGAAAGAATTTATTGTAATGTCCTAGCTAGCTGTATGGAATATGAAAGAAAAGGTCATGTTTGGCTCTGGTTCAGTTAACCAGGGTGTTAAGAAAAGAAAAAGGTGTTTGAATTGAGATCCCAGCTATATAAAGAACTAATTTTTAATTTTATTAGAACATTCAAATTCCAATCTGCATGAATCATTGGGAGGACTAAAAGATTATGAAGGTTACTCCAAAGTAATAGGAGAGTTTGCATAAGGGCATTACTTAAAATTGCAAGCTTATGTATGTGTCTGGAACAATTGCCATCTTGCATTTCAATCACCAACTGGAAAAAATTCAGACTTGTTAAATATGCTTAAATATGTATATGTGTAAATATAGTTTTTTAATGAGAGTGGTGAATGACTGAATGTCAAAATGACTTGTAAGTGTAAACAGATGTTAATTCATTTATGTTTTATGACAGAACCTCTAGTTGCTATTAGTGGTAACTACAATGTTATTCAGAATGGGGAATAGTCAATGCAGACTCTACCATCTTCATCTTTTATTGATTTTTTACAAAGGATCTACACCTCTTTGCATATGAAGCTTTCCCTCTGGATATTATTATTCAACCTGACACATGTGTGGTCAGGAACATCCTAAGTCTTACAGATGGTTTAGCTTCATTTCACAAACATTTAGAACTAGAGAAGTTAGAATGTATGCCTTTTTCTCAGTCTTCTCAGTCTTGTTGCTTAATAGCAAGAAATTAGAAAGGACTTGGAGAGACAGAAGACTTGGATGGTTTGTAGGATGGACTTAGGATACTTATGAATATAGGATTATGATAGAAGCAGCTATTCCCAGTTGTGTCTCTATGTTTTTATGAATTGTGATTGCTTATTGCTGTTGAACGTAGAAAATGTTTTGACTGCTCTCAAGACTTTTTCACATTTTATAATTTATTTCTTCATGTCTGGCCATGTAGCATCTATCTGGCCATGTAGTATTCTATCTGTATGTAAAAATGCCTCTTCTATTATGACTAGCAGAGGCAGATGCATATTTTGTTCATGTAAATAGCACAAAGGATAAAAACATTTGAAAACATTTAAAAGGATAAAAATATTAAGTAGGTTATAGACAGTTATTAAAGAAAAATACTATTGAACTATAAAGATGTTAAAGATAAATTATAAAAAGAACACATGTAGCTATTTAAGATTACATGATAGGGCAGGTTATGGCTACCTAGTTACTCATTACCTGTAAGGTTAAGTATAAGGAAGCAGGAAGTGTGAAAAGTTGTGTGTGGGTGTTTGCTGAGCATTGTTCCTAGAACAAATAGAAAATGGTATATGATGCTTTGAACATTTGCTTCCTTTTCAGAGCATAACTTTCATTCTAACAATATCATCTCTGATAGTGTGTGCCATACTTTTTCCTTTAAGCTAGTCAAGGTAGTATTGATGAATTTTGAAAAGTTGAATTTCATGGTCTTTACTGCATTTATGGATTTTTTTCCTTTGGTGTCTATATATTTATATATGTTTATATGTTATAAACATAAATATAAATATGTTATATGTTTGGTATGTATGTATATATATATATGTATATGTATATGGCATTGATTGTGAATAGGACTTTGAATAAGACTTTTAAAATTAAGGTAAGTCCTAAGTAAAAATTCTGGCTGTGAAAATAAGTGAAGTTGTGTTTGGTAATTGGTAGCTAGTTTTACTTTACCTGGTCTCTTCTAATTGGTAGCTAGTTTTCAGTTGTAAGTTTTACTTTACCTGGTCTCTTCTCGCCTGAGGTGCCTTTGACCTATTGATCCTTTCACTCTTTTTCTTTTGGGCATCACTGTGTTGTATTTGGATAGAGGAGTTCTCCTCCCCTGCTTGTGAACCCTGCATGTCTTTGAAGATGCATATGAGCTAATGCCATCATTTCAAAGCCTCTTCTCCAAAGGCCACCTGGTGTCCTAACAATGTTGTTCACATTATACATTATGTCACAACCATATTACTTTATTGTATGCTATCCTTTATGTCTTGCTATGTCCTACTTAAACATTAATTTTTTGCAAGTGTAAGCATCTTTCTTACAAGCTTGTTTGGAACATTAGCTTTTCTTCATTACCTCAAGATCAGTGGGCTTAAATTCTATCATGTGTTGCTTATCTGTAGTCAGCTTCTTTAACACCACCCTGATGAATTATTTATATTATAAAACATGTATGAACAGAAATTAAAAAAATTAATGATGAATTAAGACATATGACATGAAGTTCTAATATTTTACATGCAGACTTAAGTGTCTCATTGTGAATTTCCACTGGGATTCCAAAACTATATGTTGAGAACTAGCATTAGGACTTGATAGATACTCAGGAAGTATTTGTTTTTATTTTCAGTTATCTGGGATGATTTTTTCACCTATTATAAATGAACTCAAGGTTGCAGGCTTAAGTGTTTGAGAGCTAGCAAAAAAGACGAAGGAAATTATAACTGTATGTAGAGTAAGGTAATGTTATACTTGAAAAATGACCAAGGCTTGCCATGACAAAGTTTTGTTTTTGATAATGACCCAGTATGCTTCAGGCGTCACACAGCTTTCCTCAGACCTTTTTCACTGGCCAGTGCACAGTTATGTGGGCCTCGCTTGAGTTCAGGGCAAACTGGGCAATGTAGTCTTCCTGTGTGTCCAGAAACAGGGTATCTGTAATGGGATTCACACTGTCTCCTAGATCATTTCAGTTGTGTTGTGTTTGAAGACTCAGTTCGTGGCAGTCATGTGAAGCAAGCTTTTGTATGAATTTAAACATAAGTACTGTAATTTAGAAAGGTAGTTCTTGTAAAGTATTTCAAATCTATTTTATATAGCAAGTGTAATCATGGTATTTTCAGTTTAATCTTATTTCAATGAATTCTTCCAAAAGTAAAACCATTTACCCATTTTTCATATTTTCCTCATTATTCTTCTTCTCTCACACTCCTATTCAGCCCAGACACTGATAACTTATTGTTTTATTATGAACAAAAGGCTTTTCGTACTACTGTCACAGTTAGTTGCTAGTAGTTAATATTTTATGATCACTTGAAGATGTGCCTAAATGCTTGATATATTATTTGTAATATATCTCTCTGTGATACATTTCCTATATTATTGATTTTCTTGGACCCAATAGGTCTATTGGGATTTTTAGAAAACAAGATGCTGATTTTTTTCCCCCTGTATTTATCATGTATTCAACTATTGGGAATTTTGGCAAATGATTCTAACCAGCTTTGAAGCTTAAGCCGGCACAATGTTAATTTTTTTGGAACCACTCTTTCCAGATGGGTGGTGAATAAATAAAAGTCATCTTTCTCTATACTCAGGAGTTTTAAGTTGTTCTTAAAGACAACCATAATTATACTTCCTTTTCTAAAACTATATATCGTCAAAGGTTCAAGGGATAGAAGTAGAACTTTAGAAAAGATTAGACACTTTTTTTTCTAGTCTAGAAATAATATTATTTTCAGGAGAGGTGGGGAACTTGCAGGTGGTTGGGTGATGGATTAGGTCAGAGGTAAGAAGATGCAAATAATTTGAAAAGATAAAGAATTCATCTTTAGTTGTGTGCATTGAGATTTCTGGTTTCTATGACATAACTCAGTCAGGTTATAGGTATTACTCTTTTTGCTCAACTGTAATTTTATTTTTTTAAAAAATGCTAATACTATAGGGCTTGAACTCAGGGCCTGGGTGTTCTTTCATAGCTCATTTTTTGCTCAGGGCTGGTGTTCTATTACTTGAGCCACCACTCCACATCCAACTTTCGGTAGTGATTAATTGGAAACCAGACTCTCATAGACTTTCTTGCCCTGACGAGCTTCAGACTGTGAACTCAGACTTCAGCGTCCTGAGTAACTTGGATTACAGTCATGAGCCACTAGCACCTTGCTGAGCTATAATTTTAAAATTGTAATCTTTATTCTGGTATACACTGTGAATATGTTTGCACAGTGAAAATTTCCCTAAATTTGCTTATTGTTTTGAATGTTACACTTGTAAGTTAATAAACAAAAAAATTCTGAGAAATTATTTTGCTTAGAAGTGGATGTGTATATTTTGAAGCATACTTGTCCATCCACCCTCTACTATCTGGCTCTCCTTTCCAAACACTGATGAATTCTGTTTTCCCTATCCCTTTATCTTCATAATTGACCAGAAACAGCTTAGTGTTTTACAGTCCATATGTTAAAATAAATAGCTTTTAAAAGCCCAAGCAAAAGTAATGTAGAAAATAGAGGGGGCTGAAGTGATAGTAAATGCTGTGATCTCCTTTCTAGCTGAATTTGAACTTCTCATTTCCTGGTAGTCAAAGCAAAAAAGGAAATTATGTTCAGTTACAACGTTAGTTTTGCATACCAGATCAAAGTACATAGTTTGTTCAAGAAGTAATTTTCTTTGTGGTTAGGTTCAAAGTGATTTCTCTTTGGAAACATAGAATGTGAAGGATGTCATTATAGTTGTGTTTTAAAACTTACCTGTGGGAACTATATTTTAGGTAACCTCTTCTTATGTTGGTAAGTGGAAGCAGAGGGTTATAACAGCCAAATAGAGTTTAGGAAAAGCTAAGAAATATGTATGTATGTATATATATATATATATATATATATATATATATATATATAATTGGGCTTTGAATTAAAGATGGACTCCAGGTCATTGTTATATTCTGTAGTAATGTCTTAAAGTTGTCGTCAGTAAAGGGGCTGGGAATGTGGCTTAATGGTAGAGTGCTTGACTAGCATGCATGAAGCCCTGCGTTTGATTCCCCAGTACCACATAAACAGAAAAAGCCAAAAGTGACACTGTGGCTCAAGTGGTAGAGTGCTAGCCTTGAGCAAAAGAAGCTCATGGACAGTGCCCAGACCCTGAGTTCAAGCCAGGATTGGCCCCCAAAAAGTTGTTAATAATAGATTCTTAATTTTACTTGTTTATGTTTTTGAGAGGAGGTCTTGCTATGTTTATCAGACTGGCCTCAACCGGCTAGGCTTAAGAGATCCTAGCCAGGCACTGGTGGCTCTCACCTGTAATCCTAGCTACTCAGGAGGCTGAGATCTGAGGATTGTGGTTCAAAGTCAGCCTGGGCAGTGAGATTCTTATCTTCAATAAACCACTCAAAAAACCGGAAGTGGCACTGTGGCTCAAGTGGTAAAGTGCTAGCCTTGAGTTGAAAAACTGAGGGATAGTGCTCAGGGCCAAAGTTCAAGCCCTATGACCAACCCCCCACCCCCCAAAAAAGAATCTTGCTGTCCCATTCTCCCAAGTAACTAGGACTACAAATATGTTTCACATTGCATTCCTTACTAAGCTTTGAGATGTCATCATTTTAAATAATTGATGAAGCAAGCAGAAACTTATTTGTAGCAATATGGCCTGTTAGCCCGCTCAAGGAGGATTTAGAGAAGTGATGATCTTTTTTTTTTTTTAAATTTTGAGTAGAGAGGGCATGTCAGCTGGAGACTTGGGGTTAGCGGTAAGATGTTCTCACCAGTCAGCTCTAGTTGTCTTTGTCCTTTAGTTCAAGTTTTAGCATAGCCGGGTCCTAGAACATTGCTAGTACAAATATGACCACAGTTAGTTTGTTAAAAAAGTGAGTTTTAACTAGCTGTGTCTATCTTCAATAGGATTTATATGGACTAGCACTAAGGAGATTTTGACTCCTCCAAAATTACATTAGTGAAGAAAATTAGCAGGTAAAATAGAGGTCTTTTTCTCTTTAAACTTGCTTCTTTGAGCCTTTGTTTTTTTGTTTTTCAGAGTCTTTCTGTGTAGCACAGGGTAGCTTTGAACTCTCAGTCCTCTTGTTTAGCCTCCCAAGGGCTGCGATTACAGACATGAACCCCTTCTTTTCTTTGAATATTTTAAACTCATAAAACTATTTCTAAACTTGAATGTCCAACATTTCTTTTGATTTTTTCCTTTATTTGGCCATTAATAATTAACCTAAATTGATACTCAAACAAACTTTGAAGTTGTCTTATATTAATGTTGTCACTTAACTGTTTTTTCTGGAATAGAAAAGACAATGTCAGGACTCATTTCAGCCAATTAATTCTAAGTATATCCTATGTATCAAGCACTGCGCCTAGGTACTTATTTGATAGACAGTTTGAGAAACTGAACAAAAATGTGTCCCAAACTTCTAATGGGATTTTATAAAGTTATAGGAAAGGAAATCTTCAAGTAAGTTTTGAGGCAGGGCTATCCAAGGAGAGGAACCATGAAAGCTAGTTGGCCTGTCTTGCTTTGTAGACTTTGAACATCTGTGAGAAATGAAAATCCTTAAGGTTCGGTTCTGTATGGAGTGGCTTTCCTGGTTTCTACCTCTAAGTAACCAGAAATTGGTTTGAATATACAAAAAAGACATTTTTGTCTTAGAGCTTATATTGATTATATTCTATACTAACAACATAAACAGATATTGTATGTTGCTTCCAAAAACACTACTTTCTTCTGCTTTCAAATGTGGGATCTTTGGCCCCCACTGTGCTGTTTTGGAAGGATTGTTAGCTTTCAGGGATTTTTAAAATCTTTAGTTCTTTTTTGTTGTTGTTGTTTTGTTCTGATTCTGGAGCTTGAACCTAGGGCCTGAGTGCTGTCCCTGAGCTTTTTTTTTTTTTTTCTCTTTGCTCTATCATTTGAGTCACCTTCCATTTCCAAGTTGGTTTATTAGTGTTTAAGTAGAAATAATAGTCTCACAGACTTTCTTGCCAAGGCTGGCTTGGAACCATGATTCTCATATCTCAGCCACTTGCGTAGCTAGGATTATAGGTGCCAGGCCTATTCTTCAGTTCTTAGAGTTGGCTTAAGTAGTCAGGTATTTTTCTCATAGTTTGGTAGTTTCATTAACACTATCCAGGTCTGACTCATTGTGATAACATCTGCTTACAGATCTAACTGCTTCTTTCTGCCCAGTATCTGTGTAATCTGGAGTGCAATATTTCTAGTCATTTTCAGGTCGTTTACCCATTTATTGGTATGCATTAAACTTTCAAGCAGATCTGCACATGTTCTATATTTAGGTTCATTTTGGTACTGTGCTTTGTGTGATGGAACTATGCAAGAGATGTTTAAGGCTACCTATATTTGGGCACTTTCTGTGTATCAATATTAAATCTTCATCTAGCGTTAGTATAGCTTAGTAGATAAGCTTACAGTTTAGCTGTTGCTACTCATTCACTGTCTTCTTGAAGTCCACTCCCCTGAGTTTCTATTGAGTGATGAAGAGCAGGAGGAAATCAGGAAGAAGAGAGTGACCTCCCATTAAGGGGAAGGGAAAGGGGCCCGCCAGCCGAGTGCTGTATGCACTTGTTCATTCATACATGGCCACTTCACAGCCATTTTTGTTATGCAGACATTTTAGCATGAATTAAAAAAAGGTACTCAAATAATGGATAGAATGGACCTGGTTAGGTGGGCTTGCTTACCTTATTGTTGAAGCCCTTTCCTTGGATGTGACTAGGACTTTGGAGTGGAAGGAGTGGAAATGAGAACCCCTGGGAAGGTGCGACCACATAAGGAGGAACCATCAGTCATTCTAAACTCAAAGCCTAGTCATTTTCTGAGAGGCTTTCCTTTTCATAGCCTAAATCCTATTCCTCTGACACCCCCTTCCCTGAATGATTTTCACTTTAAAATATGGATTTGACTTTTATAACAGAACTTCTTTTCTATTTGGAAATCTAGAAGAAGTATTTCCACATTTTGTCTGTGTCTTGGATTTGGATCTTAATTTGAATTGGGTACATAATAAA